TAATTTAATAACATCGTTAAATGCAATCTTAAGCACATCTCAAAATGAATTTACATATTTGTGTCCATATAGGAATACATTTTTGTAACAGTTTAGTATAGGGACCAATTCTCACTATTAACTACAGTTGTTGCTTATTAGCATGTCTAATATTAACATACTGGCTCTTTATTAGTACTATTAGTAAATATTCTGCATGACCATATTCTACATCCCTAATTCTACCCAATACCTAAACTTAACAACTACCTTACTAACTATTAATAAGCAGCAAATTAGGAGTTTATTGAGGCAAAATCATAGTTAATGGTTTGGTAATGGCAAGAATTGGACCTTAAAATAAAGTGTGACCTACATTTTTAAACATATACAGTGGGTACGGAAAGTATTCAGACCCCCTTAAATTTTTCACTCTTTGTTATATTGCAGCCATTTGCTAAAATCATTTAAGTTAATTTTTTTTCCTCATTAATGTACACACAGCACCCCATATTGACAGAAAAACACAGAATTGTTGACATTTTTGCAGATTTATTAAAAAAGAAAAACTGAAATATCACATGGTCCTAAGTATTCAGACCCTTTGCTCAGTATTTAGTAGAAGCACACTTTTGATCTAATACAGCCATGAGTCATAATGTTGCAATGTTTAAATTTGTGTAGCATTTAAAACATCTGATTTAAAGTTTTAGGGTTTTATTTTTTGTTTATTTAGAGTAAATGATATAGAATTGTAATATTTACTGCTTTTTATTTACTGCTGCTTGGCAATATTTTGCATTTAAAATCCAGTCATTTCATAGGAATCCACACAATCAGAAGTTTCAAGTAAAAGTGGAATTTTTCCCAATGTAAATTGCATCAGGTTCAAGTTGGTCAAGTGAATTTGTTACATTGACCAATAGAAAGTTGCCTGGGGTATAATGGATTTTTTTTTATGTGACTGCACCTAAAAAAACAATATTGGCCCATCAGTATTGTCCAGAAAAAAAATATTTTTTTCATTTTAAAACTAATTTTGTTTAAAAACACTTGAGAAACTTATTTTCACAATTGTTGTTAGCACTTCACATAAATCAAGAATATACGTGACAGTGCCAACCTGGAACTGACACATCTGGATCACTAACAAACAAAATTCACAAAGAGTCAGGAAGTAAGTTAGTTTTTCATCAGATTCAGTACATACTCTGAAAATACAGTCTCTTTCTTCCTCTGCTTCTGTCCCTGACACACACACACACACACACACACACACACACAAACATCATGCTGAGCAACTGGTCTCTGATGGGCAGGGGAGAGCTGATTATGGATTCACTTTGCAGCAGGAGCCGCCCTGACGCTGGGGATTTGATTAGGGCTTTGACAGGTGCCAGTGAGATTGCAGCCTTAATCTGAGGAGTGATCTGCTTAGATAATGTGCAAAGAGGAAGAAAGAGACAGAGGTGGCAGGAAACGGGGGATGCAGGTAGTAGAGATACACTGAAACGGCCTCATGACAGCAGAGCTTTACTTTTGATGTACTCACTAAATCTAAATCATATCACAGACAGCGTGCTATCGTAAGAGTGATACTTCATCTGGTGCATCTTACAAATCCTGAGAAAGAGACTGGAAACGAGTGCCTCTCACACTGCAGAATCTTTAAAGCTCTTGGAGAATGGTTGAAATACTCAGTTACTGTATGTTAATGAGGAGAATGTAATGATGCCTTTGACTCCCATTGCCATCTTCTATTCTCTCACATGTGCAGAGAACCTCCCTACAGGCTGCCGCAGTGTGAACCGGGTCAGTCACTGATGTCTCTATCATGACTGTCCCATTCTCTTTCCATACAGGAGATCTACTTGCATCATTGGATCACAGCAGAGTTCTCTCATCTCTTTTCACCTGCTGTCAGAAATTGGGCTTTTCTCAGTCAATCACGAACAGAGCAGAGGTGGGCGGTATGACCAAAATCTTAATTTTATATCTTGTTAACTTTATATTTAAGCAATGTCCCACAAGCAAGTGCTGTTGTACTGAATATCTCCTTAATATTGAAACTACACAGGAGCAGATATCGAGTGACGCACATTTCAGACAAAAGCTGGCCTGTTCTCCGCCAACACAAACGGTTCCAAAAAAAAAAAAGCAAGTAAAGTATCAAGCTTTGCACGTTGGCAAGCAACGTTCAGACTGGAATACAATATGTGAGCGGAATGGAGTGACAGTAATTTTCCCTCCCGGCTCAAATCATTCTGTAATCACTCCGCTTTACCTCCGTTTCCAGGCAAATCTGAAGCCAGAGAAAGTACAGATACTGTAACTTTCAAAACTAAATACATAAATAAAAAACACAAGCAAAATCACAGCTCGCAAACACTGGTAAGAACACAGAGAACACATTCAAGCAGAGTCGTGTGTACTAAATATTAGGGGTATTGGAACAACACTTCACTAATCAAGAGCTAGAGGGCCAAAACTATATATACATCATGATAGAGATTTTTATTTTATAGCTATTTTTCAAAATGTGTTATACTGTATATTGCATTACATTAAATTGCATTGTATACTGCATATTGTTTTTCTTTTGGATAATCCATAATTAAAGGGGTGGGTGACTGCTTTTTTCTAGGCTTGATTGTGTTTGGTGCAGTCTAACATGTGTTAATGCTTTGCAGTTGTTTTTTTTAATAACATCATTGGGATCATAACACCTAGTCCTATCATGCAAACTTAAAAAAAAAAAATCATTATTTTTCCACATAATTTAGCTTCATTCTACACCGCTTTGTCCCTTCTCTGATGAATGCTCTGATGATTTCCCCTCCCTCAGAAATACACAATGGGCTCAGATTGGTTAGCTGGCCCAGTGTGTTGGGATTCGCTAAACCACCTCTAGTGCAGTTCATAATCGTCACGCCCCTCGCCTCAGAATGCGCTTCTTCTGTATTGTAAACAATGGCGTCATCAATATTGCTTATCAATTTGAGCCCAAATGAGACCCAGAGAATATTAGTGAAGAGCATCATGCAGAAACTTTGCAAACATGGCTCTTACAGGACATTTCAGAATGGTAAGTTTTTTTTTTGTTTGTTGTTGTCTCATACTTTTAGATACGCTGTTAGTTGTAAATGCTACTGCTTATATGTTAGCTTTTAATATACGGTTTTATCCTGATTAAAGCTTTAACACAGCAGAATACATGATACAAAGTAATTGTTTACTTTGTAACAGTGAGAAGTGTTTGCACCACGGCAACCGCGTGCACGTCCATGTTTAACACTTGTAGCTATGTGGAAAATATCTGTCTGTCTATACACATAAAGTGTTTAATTGGAACACAGTTCACTGATGGAGCTGTGATGAGCTGATGATCTGAATAAAAGAGAGAGAAAGAGAGTGAGAGAGAGATGCAGAGCGTGTGCAGAGCAGGGGGACGCGAGGAACAGGATTAAGAACCACTGCTTTAGAACATTGATTTTGAAACTTGTGAATCCATTAGAATTGTTAGAAGACAGAATCACGATTCATATATGAATAGATTTTTTCGAGCACCCCTAGTTTTGACGGCATGGCTGTTCCTCTTCTCTAAAGCAGCGCAACATGGCAACCTTTCTTGCATGTTTCCCGGGGCGGGGTTTATGTAAATTTCAGGGTTTGTGATGTCACCAACCTGGGAAGTAGCTTGTTGTAGTCCCCACGAGCCGTAACTGTAGACATTAAACTGCCATAAGTTTAAAATACAGTATCTCCGTTTGCATTGAACTTTCAGCATCGTAACTTTGCAGATATTGTTTATGCTCAAACAGCAACGTTACACACTAACTAACAATTAACCACCCCTATAATATTTTGCTAATGGAAGTTTTTCATCTCATTAGATTGATGCTGTTCATTTAAACTTTCTATTCATCAAAGTATCCTAAAAAAAGTATCACAATTTCCATAGACATATTAAAGGATGGATTTTTAAAATTATTATTATGTTCCTTGAGGTTTGCTCATAACGCTAATAAAGTTTTTTTGCACAATAAATAAATAAATAAATAAATAACTATGTGGAAAAATTATTATAATTTTATTATTATTATTCAACCCTCATTCTGACCCTCTAAAATGATCTGTTTTTAAGGGGAGGTTCTTTTAAGGCGTCTCAGTAATCGGCCACTGTTATGGTTGGCTAACGTAATTGCACAAGAAACAGTATCAATGCCCCCTCGCTATTGCATGTGAGTGCTTTGACAACATAATCAAAATAAAACAGTCATTTCCAGACAAAGCATTTGGAAAATTATTTACTTACGGTTTGTGATGCAGCTGCAGTCAGATATAGTACCGCTTCATCTTTTCAACAAACGTTTCTTTAGCTGCATTTACACTGGCACAAAACATCTGATTTTTTTTGCTCACATCTGACACAGATCGGAAAATGTTGCACACGTGTAAACACAAAAATCCACACAAGATCTGCTTTTTTCACATCCGATCTGGGCCACTTCCAAATATGGATTTTAGTCGGATACATATCCGATATCTGGACATCTGACCTACGTCTAAACACACATATCTGATTCCCCGCAGAACTCCTAATGCGAGGGCGACACGTACTGCCCATAAAGATCGAGTTTTAATGCCAGCATGCTATATACGCTTGCAATTTATTGAGGCGGGAACTTCATATGTAAGAGACTTGGAAGATCCAGGACATTTTTTAATGTAACTCCAATTGTATTCATCTGAAAGAAGAAAGTATACACCTGGGATGGCTTGAGGGTGAGTAAATCATGAGGTAATTTTCATTTTGGGTGAACTTTTCCTTTAATATTTTTCCTGTATTTTTGATCAAATACTCTAATTCAGCATTGGCGAGTATAAAACACTTATTATTATTATTATTATTATAATACAATACCTTAATTATATAATTACATAATCTATGTATATGTATATTGCTGCCAAACCCTATAGCAGATACAGAAAACAAAGCAGGATTTAATGTTAGAACTCACCAATACAGAGACCGTCACTCTCCTCATAGCCTATGCTGCAGACACAACGGCCCAGCGGCACCAGCCAATCACCATCAGCTCCACAGTACAGCCTAGGTGTGTCACGTTCCTCAGCGTTCTCAACACACGCTCCCCTGACCTCCACCAGTGAAGACGAATCCACCCGCGGTACTGTGTCGGGGAAGGCTGCAAGGTTTCTCAGGGTAGATGGGCACTTTTTGTAATAAACTCTCACAGACACCAGGGCGATACATGCGCCCACGTCCTGGAAGGCCAAGTAGAAACCCTTACGAGCTATTGGGCCCACTTCTCGCACTTCGGTATTCAGCCTCAGAACACGGTCGCCCAGGTCTGTCTGTGTGAAGCTCTCGTCGGCGGCTATGGTATCGATTTTGGCGTAGTCGTTGGTATGGAAATGAGCAGTGGCACCATGCGGCTCATCTGTCTCAAAGTAGAGGAGGTTAAAAGTCTCCTTACAGGTGCCAGAGACCCAGGGGATGCTGTTGCAGTCCCGCAGGGTGAAGCGAAGCTCCACGTAGATCTTCTGTGCAGCCTGACGGGGAATCCAGTTTGTACGAAGCCAGTTGTTCTGGTTGGGTTCCATTACGTGGCACACCTGGAAGGTGTGGATGGGACGGTTATGCTCATCCATCTCCGTGATGGCATCCCACTGTGGAGAGCAAAGGACAGAGGAATGAGAAGATAGATAGTGGGATAATTGGAGAAAGCAATAGAAAGGAGTGAATCCTCGGGAAGGGCAATGTTCTTGTTGAGTTCTTCAGAGCAGCTGCTGGAGCCCAGAGAAATCAAACAGAATTTAGCTTAATCAAATTAGCATAAGAAAACTGTAAATTGAAACACTGGCTATGTTTACATGCAAACCTAATAATTAATTAATTTAATAATTTATTAATTTAAAGTCATAATTACATGTTTATCACATTCAAGTGCTATGTTGTTGGAAAGAATAGGAATCATGGAGGACAGCAGTTTCATTCTTGCCTATTGCTTGGGGAAATCTAATTAAAGCCAAAATGAATTGCAGATATTTAATCAATATCCAACAGATTTTGAATAAAATGTAGCATTCCCATACAGTGACAATCAAAAAAACATTACCACGCTATCTAGCTGACAATTTTTTTGTCATTCATATAATATACATTAAATGGATACACTTGAATATACATAACTGTAAATGAAAAAAAATAGGCCTAACTTAAACTTAAGTCAATAAAAAAATTGTTCTGTCCTCCACCATGTTAAAAGTTCATGGCCCACCCAACTCGGAAACACGGGTATCAAATTAATCTCAAAGTTTCCCACTTAAAAAAAAAATAAATATAACATTAAAATTTGAAAGGCTGTTCATGTCTGATTTCTGACTAGGAAACTCATGTTTATTATAGCAAGTAAAAGCAGCTCAAAAAAGAAAAGTTACTGCACAAATTTGTTTATTTACATCAATGTTCTGCAACTGTCTACAACCCATCTTTTCTATGCACTTTCTTCCAGAGAGATCTTGTTATCGTTGGAAGATAGCCACATGAGAAGAAGGTTTACTTAGAATATTTTTTGAGAAAAAAAAAAAAGGCAAAACGCTAATTATACACTGGGGTGCCATCTCTGACAGGACCACTGACAGCTCACAAGCTTCTCACTGCATGTGTGGAATACATGCGATGAACATGTAAATGCACTTCTTGCATTGCTGAGTTTTGGATATACAGTAGATTCTGAATCTGTCAATTTGAATCTGTCAATCAGTTGGATTGAACTGATTTGGTTTGACATGTCTCTAACTACTAATTAACGTTCCCAAAATAAATAATTCATATCCATGATAAATGACATGTAGAACTTGAATTCTTAACCCACAGTATAACTTGAATTAAGACACTGGGTCTTATAAACTTAAAAAAAAATCACAAAAAATTGACATCTGACACTCCATATAAACATGAATTTGTTCTTAACATTGTTCTAATGTTTACAAATTTGGATTATTCTAAATAAGCATGTTAGGGTTAGCCAATTTATATAAGGGGTTTTTGCACAACATTTCATTTACAGTATTTTTAGCAAACATATGACGATCTCTAAAAACGCAGTCTCTTCTGAGAGATGCGCAGCAAGATCTTTGAGCAATGCTAAGTGTGCAATAATTAAATATAGTTCAAACACCTGTAGGGATTTCATATACGGGATACGGAGATGCCACTGGATCACCATCATGAGGTTTTGAATTAATCTGGTCAAACCGGCAACCAAGGACTCCGAGAGGGGTTTCCCAAAAGGACGTCATCCATACGTCATTCCAACATCAGATCAACAGCCAATCAGCAACGGAATCCCCTCCAGCACGCCCGCGTCAGCAAAGGAATTGCCTCAGCGTTTCAGCTCTCAACTAAACAGAACGCAAGTAAATGACCAAACTCTTCAACTCAGCTGACCTGGCGTAGAATTGAATTAAACAGTAAAGATAAGACAATTGCTGCTTGGTGTTCTCCTAGGCTGAATTTAAAACCACTCGTTAAACGAGTTAGGACTTTGAAAACTTAATGCAACTCCGTCAACTCATTTCCTTGAATCTTTGTGTGTATGTGTATGTTTTAGTTAGGTTTTATGTAATCTAGATTAGCCAATAAAATTCATGTTTCATTTATAAACAAGAATGTCTTGGCTCATATAATTTTAAGGTTAAACTTATGCCAAACGATCCTTGCTTGCTACTTATCTCGTAGCTTACTTATAATAATTACCTCTGTTAAGAACGAACAAACAATCTTCATTGTGTGGACCGTGGCCAGGAAAACACATATTAAATTTGTTAAAAGATACCAAGAATCACTGGCTCGCTGGACGACCTTGATTTGAAGTAAAACTAACAAATTTGGAATGGTTTAATCAGGTGGACGTGGGACATTCAGACCCGAGTTCTAGCAAAACCTGAATAAATTAATAATCATCAATTCCCTATAATTACAAATTAATAATGAATAAATAAATGACTTACTGTTATTACACACCTTTAATACATCTCGTTGCATACACATACATGTATCTGTTGTTATACAGAGAAACTTCGCAGCTTGATGATGTGATATGATTTTCTCAGCTTTTTGTTCAAATTGTTGCATTCTTTTTATGAAACTTACCCACATTCAAGCAGATTTTTTTTTTTATTTAATTTTTTAATCTTTCTTTTGACATTGCATTCATACAAAATATTCTGGGGGCTATGAATATTTTGTGAAAATTGAAAATTCTGGCAGTGGCTGGCCAAGACAAAGAGTTATAGAGGTCTCGTAAAAAATACAGTAAAACAATTATATTGTGCAGTATTATTATGAAATGGTTATTGGTTATTATTATTATTATTATTATTATTAAAATAACCTTAATATTATAAGGTTTTATATTATAAATATTATAAATATTCTTAAGCCATTCCTTCACTCCTCAGTGTCACATGATCCTTCAGAAATTCATCTAATATGGTGATTTGAATATTTGACAATAGGATTATCAATAGGGGTGTAACGGTACATGTATTTGTACTGTAAGGTTCACAGGGCAAATTCCAAATGGAAGTGATCATCCCTATGCCTTTGAAGGGCAGAGCCCTTGGAGTGAGCAGGGCACGTGCATGCCATTGTGTAGTCGTCATTTGGAATGCACTTGGCAAAGGGAGCGACGTAATTTCCTCATTATCTTCAGCTGGGATGTTCCCGTGACAACGCAGCACGGTGTCCGTCATTTGAATATTTGACAATAGGATTATCAATAGGGGTGTAACGGTACATGTATTTGTACTGTAAGGTTCACAGGGCAAATTCCAAATGGAAGTGATCATCCCTATGCCTTTGAAGGGCAGAGCCCTTGGAGTGAGCAGGGCACGTGCATGCCATTGTGTAGTCGTCATTTGGAATGCACTTGGCAAAGGGAGCGACGTAATTTCCTCATTATCTTCAGCTGGGATGTTCCCATGACAACGCAGCACGGTGTCCATCAGCAGATGTGGCTGTTTTACTGGCATATATGTCTTTTTATTGTTGTTAGCATAACTGATGCAAATAAACATACATTTTATATTTTAAAAAGTTTTTAAAATATGCTATATAATATATGAAAACTAATATATATAAAACGTTTTAAAATATAAAATGTGTGTTTTTTATGCCAGTGTACATCAGCGAATGTCACGGGAACATCCCAGCTGAAGATAATGAGGAAATTACATCGCTCCCTTTGCCAAGTGCATTCCAAATGACTACATAATGGCACGCATGTACCCTGATCACTCCAAAGGCTCTGCCCTTCAAAGGCATAGGGATGATCACTTCCATTTGGAATTTGCCCCGTGAACCGTACAGTACGAATATGTGTACCGTTACACCCCTAATTATAAATGCTGAAAACAGTTGTGCTGATTAATATTTTTGTGGAAACTGTGATTTTTTTGGAAATTTAGAATGCATTCTAGCATGAAAATAATTGATGAATCATTGTTCGTGAAAATGTTCATATACTGTACAGATTTCACGCAAACAACTAAGCCCACATTTATTTCACTGTCACATCCAGGCAACGTGAGACTCCTCCTTACTGACATTTTCAATACATCATTTTTTAGGTAGTATCGGTAGGCTGTGATGTGCTACCCATATGCTTGGTTATGCTGAAGCTGTGAACACAGCAAGGCATAAGGGCCCAATAGATTTACTAAAGCCACTAGCAACAGCTGAATCAAACAGTAATGACAGGACGTCTGGCCATTGTACTGCTGCTCTGCTTTGAGTGACTGTCTACATTTTTTCTCTCTTTTACACATTTTCTCTTTCCAAACATGTTGTATTGCACACATTTGCTTTCCCAAACACTTCCCATATCTTGTCATCACGCTCTCACTCTCTTTTCCACATGTTCTCACTTTCTTTTTCACAAACTCTCACTGTGTTCTGGCATTCTTATTTTCCACCCATTCAGTCTCTTTTTCTCACTCTGTTCTTTTGTACTCCCACATTTTTGGCACTTTACTGTTTTCCTCACTATTTCTCCTCCTCTTTCTGTGTCTTCAGCATAAATCTCTTCCTCCAATCATCTGTTTCCTCTTCTTTTTCTTTTATTTCTTATCTCCCTAATCTATCTCCCTCTGATAATTAATTAGGAAGGACGCACTTCATTAGCACTAAAGCCTCCACTTACTCACTTTCATTATTGCAGTGATAAGCTAAGCCTTCCCTAATAGCCTCTCAATCAGAAACTTGCTGTATCATAGCCCTGATGTGTGCCGATAGCTCCTCACAACAGACCGCTGTTTGCAACCAAAAAGTTTGATTGAAAGAGAAGGGTTCCATTTCTAAACAGGTCAAGTCAGCTCATGTTCAGTTTATACTATATGTAATTTGCAGCTTAAACTGGATATAATTGCATTAAAATTGTGAGAAGGCCCAGATCATGAGACCTACAGAACAACTATATAGAGACACACGGAGACAAGAAATGTAAATATATCTGAATGACACTTTAGTATAGGTACCAATTCTCACTATTAACTTGTTGCTTATTAGCATGCCTATAATTAACATATTGGTTGTTTATTAGTACTTATAAAGCACATATTATACATCCCTAATCCTACCCAATAAATAAACCTAACAAATACTG